CGGCCCGGCCCGGCCCGGCGGGGAGGGGAATGGTGCGAGCTCTTTCTGCGTCCTGCATCCCAGAGAAGTCTGAGGTAACCGGGAGGGAAACGCTGCAGGGACAATTATTGTTTTCTTTATTTAAAAAAACCAAAAAACAAGGTGGAGCGTATTTCCTGGGAGTGTTAAGCTTCAGCAAGGAGGTGGAGAAAATACTGCTTGCCCTTTTTTCCCCTGTTATACTGGAGGCGTCTTCAGCCCTTTGTTTGCTGTTTTCTGTCCGATGTACTGTACAAAGCCAATATTGATTCTGTAATACCGCAAGTTACGGACGAGACTTGTTTTGCCTTTGTCACTGTGAGTCAGTCGGACCCCGGTAGAGTAATCCAGGACCTGACACACATCTGCTGGCTTTTATGGCACCTGCTGTGCCTCAGAAGAGCTGTTTTAGAAGTGAGAACGGAATGGCTGCTCCATACAGCTTATCGCCGTTTTTGCAGGTCTGCAAGCATAGCGTATGCTTGATATAGTTTTATTTTGTGTGCTTAAGAGAAGTTAATACGTCTGCCTTATATCCACCTTATTTGCTATATGCAACGTGATCGGTGTTTGTGATCTTTGGAATCAATGAGACAAGTTTAAATAGGATGGGCTCTAGTAAAATGAACGTTAAGGAAATTCAGAAGGTGTCTTTCTGATGTGGTTAATGACTGGGTAACAGAACAATTTGATACAGTAAAATCCCCATGAAAAGTATAGTGTTAAGAGTATTTGGTAGGCTTTAAAAGGTTAAGGTCTCTACTAGTGTTAAAAAAAATTAGTAACTGATACTTGCTCTAAAAATTTTAGATCAGTTAAGTGAGACTTAACTGAATATGCTAGTTTATAATATGATCTGTTTTCTACCTGAGGCCAATTAGTAATGGTAAAACTTGCAAAAATATTTAAAGAATACACACTAATACAAGAGTTCTCTCAAATGCTTGCCCTGTAGCACTGATAAAACATTTGTAAACTTTAATTGACTAGGTCACCACAATAAGCCATAAAAGCACCATGTAAGGCTTAAATGCCTAAAGGTCTTAACTGAGTAAAAGTTCATGTTTTGGCTGTTTGTATGAGCAGTAAGTCTATAGTGGTGAGGGGCCTGTGAAGACTTAGATGTCTGGTTTTCTCTATATGCAAATAAATAGATATGTATAAAGGGTTGTTATTTGTATTACTCCCTCTCTTGTTTAACATGGCTCCCCCCCCACCATTGCATGATGAAAGTTGTCCTCTATATAATAAAATATAATAATTGTCTTCTTGCCACAACGTTTAGTGTCTTCTTGAAGTGGTCTTTGGTTAAGGACTGTTGTATATCAGTAAAAGCTACGCTTTATTTGGTATGTAAGAAGTCTTCTGCCTAAATAAATTTGAAATTCATCCCAGTTGGAGTATGTTTATCCTCAAAGAATGCACATCTGCTTGTTCTCTGCCTGTGCAAGCATTATTATAATACATCTGAAAATGTCTTTTATTTGAACCATGGATTCTCTCCTTTTTATTTGCTTACACATGTGACTTACTGGGACATCTGTGATGAGTACTTTTTAACTTGTATTAAAATTTGTCAAAATTTTGTATTAATTTTTCTTAATAAAGAAGAGACACTGATAGAATCATCTTATGAACTGTAATGTATAGTAATATCAAACAACCCCAGTCGTTATTTTTGTGCAAATTAAAAAAAATAGATTTTTTTTTTTTTTTTACTAAATGCGAAGCTTGTTGGGAGCTGAAAATACTGCATGATGTGAGGGAAACTTGCGGAATCTGGCACACAGGTGTGCGCACAAGCATTCTAGTAGTTTAGTTTCGTAGATTTTATTTGTTTTATCAGATAAACAATATCCTTTTTCTCGGTGTGTGAATATTGTGTGTCATAAGTGGCAAAGGACTGGAATTAGGATGAACTTTAAATGAGATCCAGAAATCTGTTTTGTCTAAGCTCCAGGCTTAAGTTCTTTTGGAAGCCTGTGTTAATTTCAGAACAAATTTGGCTAATGGAGCTGTGATTTCTTTTTTTATTTTATTTTTTTTGTTTCCTTCGTTTGTATTTTGACGTAAGTGACAAATCTTCTGAAGGATTTTAACGTTTTAAGTTTCAAATTGATGACTTTGGCACTGGTAAAATAGGGCACGTTCTTTTTTTGCAGCGTCTTGCTGAATCCACAGCACTGTTTTTCCTAAACTTGAAAAAGCTTCTGATTTCTTATTCAGCCTCTGACTTTTGCCTCTTGTAACTGCATTAATTACCCCAACATCCTGGTAACTTTACGGAATACTTGTGACAGCAGACCTGTGTGCCAGTCCTGCTGCAGGTCAGGGAAGTGATAAGGATAAAGAGAGCAAATACCTTTAAGCCACAGCCTTATGGTAATATGATGCCTTTTCCATTCAAGGCTAACAGTCATGAAGCTGCTGCTTTTTGTTGTTGTTGTCTATAACTTTTCTTACCTTGGTGAGCAAACATAGTATTATTTTGGCTGAAGAATGAACTGATTGTTGTTTGAGACTGATTTACTGTTGAGAACAGTTTTTGGTTTTGGTGGTAAAAGTTTCTTCTAAGCAAATAAAATAGCGTAGTGGAAAAATGAGACTTTTCATGAAATATTTAATGAGCTACACTTGTGAGTCTCTTTGCACACATAAGAGTTTACTTTTGCAGACTGATAGTATACCGTTAGCTATTGTCTTTTTCTGACATCTGAGGAATAGCCTACTGAGAATGCAAAATTAAGATTAAAAAGCATTGGTATATGAAGTAATACTCTCATTTCTAAGTTTGTAATTAACCTTCAGCCTTATCATAACTAGAGATGACACCTCATCTTTCCACTATTACCAAGTGACGCAGTGGTCAGACATACTGCCTTTAAATGAGAAATGGTTTTCAGGTCAAAGTGCTTTAAAAAAAAAAAAAGATATTAAGTACACAATACAGAAGTAAACATACATCGGACTTACTGCAAGTTAACCTTATTAAGTTGAATTGGTACGTTTTGAAGGTAACATTTATGATAAAAAAGTCCAAGTAGGCTAGTGGATGTCAGGTTTTTTGGAGGACTGAAGGAGGCAGGAGGTGGCAGGTTGCTGAACAGAAAGAAGTGGTGGCTGGTGCCTCCCTAGAGCTTGAAAGGACATTGTGTCTTGTAACTCAACCAGTCAAAGGAAGAGAAACCTACCTGTGATCAGAGCCTATTCCTTTGACTCCCAGGGAAGGAACGAGTGCAGAAACTAAGGGCAGTGTAGGCAATTTCAGTTTCTGAGGTAATTCTGCAAATGGTGTCCCAGTTTTTGTAGTTATTTCCCAGTTTGCAGTTCTTAGTTTCTTTTTGGCAGAGGAAAAACATTAAAAAAACAACTGTAGTTCTGACTTTCTTGTTAATGTGCGGGGACACAAACTTTGAGTGAGTTGGTTGATTCTTCAAATTTATGGTATTTTTTTCCACTCATTTCTGTCTGTCCATGTTATTCCTTTTACTTCCTAATATAATCTCTCTGATAAGAGAACAAAACATTTATTCATCCTTCCCCTCCCTCACTTTTTCTCTTTCCATATTGTTACTGCTTCTCCACAAGCCAATAGACCCTAGCAGTGGTTTCTAAATCAATGGCATCAATAGATATCTGACTCTATTTATTAATATTAATTAGAAATTGGAACTACTGCTGGTATTGGGAGTCTGAGAAGTATCAGAGCTGATAATGTCTGTTAAGTGAGTGCTGGTTCACAATTCAGGGACATCTAGTCTTCTGTCTCAGCGGTTTCCTCCTAGAACACGGACACAACCTAAAAGAAAGTAAACATATGTTTCTTTATCCTTCAGTTTTTCAAGAACTGAAGGTCTAAACAATCTCAGAATGAATAATCTCAGAAACTTATATAGAAAAAGCAAAAATAAATTAAATCATATTTAATGAAATTAAATTCAAAAGATAAAGGAGAATTTAGAGCCATGACAATTCTGCTGCGCTAGATGGAGAACCAAAGAGAGGGCCCATAGCTTTTCTATAAGTTACCTCAGTACTTAGGGGAAAGAACCACAGAGATGAAAGTGAGGAGTTTATTGGGATGGCACGTGTGTAGGATGCGGATGCTGCAGAAGGCCATTAAAACATGAGTCAGGCAATCCCAGGGATAGAGCCCGTGTTTGAAGGGACGTGAACTTGGGCAGAGTGCTAGTGCATCCTGCTTTAAAATTGTATTTGCTTTGTTTCCTGTACCATGAAGCTTTTGCTTCTCCTTCCCAAGTGGGCATGGCAACTATTCGCGTGGCAAATGAAGGAATCCATCAAATGAGAAGGTGGAAGAAAAGCAGAATGCTCAAGAAGTGCGTAAGAAAGAGCACCAAGATGCTCTGTAGCCTCTAAATCAGCAAATGCTAGAAAGCATTGAAGGAACAAAGACTAATGCTTTGGATGGCAAATATTTACATCCTTATGGTTATTGCACTGCTTGGGCAACCTTATTTTCCCAGGCTGAGGGTTATACTTTGTCCTACATCCTTATGAAAAATCCAGTACAGGCAGGACACCACTTACATGTAATGCAATTGCCCAAAGAAAAGTACGTTGACCTGTGTGTGATTCAAGAGGTGGTGTTCAAAAGCTTACACGCTAGTCGTCTTGTGTTCTTGAACTATTTTAAAAAATGTTTGTTACTGCTCAGAGTTTATGCACACTTGAGTTTATTAACAGACTAAACCAAAGCAACGTACTGCTTTTATTATGGCGCGTTATTGAACGTGTATTCAGAACCCTTTCTTAATGGAATGGCTCGTTGAAACTTTGCCACTGCCTATTTTTCTAGCTTTTTAAAATAGGCAGAGAGCTGATCTGCTTTACACCTCCACACCCCTGCTAATGTGAGCAGGGGAGGAAAAATATATATAAAATTCAGTATGCAGCAGTAATAGGGGTTTTTGGCATCCTGTGATTCAAGGGAGAAAATAATTTGCAGTGTATCCAATTAGCAGTTGGAAAAAAGCAGAAAGGATTTATTTTCCAATTAAACCTATATCAGAATTCAAAGACTTGCTGAATTTCGTAGCACTTTATGAAACTTAGAGTAACGTTCTGTGGCAGAAAAATGACTTTTAAACTGTATTTTATGCCCTTATTCTGTCAGCTTATTGGCCGAAGGGATTCACGCATGGTAGTTACTAGAAGGTGAAACTGGGTGAGTTGCAAGGGAAGCATATGCAAGTTTTAATATCTGATGTGATTCCAGCAGGTGAATTTTGTGTTAATAACAAATATAAGCAGCTTAGAGGCTTTTTTGTAATGCTGCTGCATCTTACGGCATCATCTGCAACAGATGTTTGAATCTTTTGCATCTAATGCTGAGAAAGATTTCAGCAATTAACTGCCTTCTAGCCATATTTTGTGTTTTGTAAGCATCTCGCAATAGAGACTGCCATAATCAATAAATTATGTCTGGTCAATTAATCCCTTTAAAAATCAGTTTTGCTTTTGGGAGACTTTAAGTAAGATTTCAAAGTTTCCTTAGTGTGGTGCAGCCCTGCAGAAACCACTGAAAATGTATGGAAATATTATCAATGATCATATTTAGGGGTTTTTTTTAGTTACATATACTGTATACTGACTATCAAATACTCCGTGATGAGGTTTAAACTCCGTGATGAGGTTTTGAACTCTGGATATTTGTATTGTTTTTTCACACAATACATACATAAGTTGTGAACCTTGTAGGCACAGTATTTTGTAGAAGCCAAAAGTATAAATAGGTTAAAAAAGCAATTAGACAGTTTTATGGATTTTAAAGCAGTAAAAGCTATTGAACACAAAAATCTCACGTAGAATATTTGAAAACTGTAGATTGCTAGATGCTGGGAGTTATTGTGGGAGAAGTTTATTGAATACTTTGTTACTGATCACTTCTAAAGCAACAGAATTCAGAGCTATCGGTTTGGTTTGATCTAGTATGACCATGCCTGGCTACTGATTCTTCTAGCCACCTACCGCTTGCTATAATATGAGATAAATCTCTAAATATTTTGGTAAAAAATAGTCTTTGAACATATGGTTACTCTAAACTGCTTTTTTTTTTCCTTATGCTATTTTCACTGGGAGGACTGATTAAAATCCTCACCTAAATTAATCCCACTCCCTTCTGCAGTTAAATTTGCTTTTGTGCCTACTTCTGCATGAGCAAAAATCCCTGCCTGTGTTGCGTGCACGCCCTGGGACTGCCAGTGATGGGAAGCATGTGCTGACCTTGGGCAACACTATTTCTCAACTGCCTTAGCAAGCAAGCCACTGTATGCCTGCAGCATGGCTAGTGTAAGTGGAAATACTCTGGGACTTTGGG